ATAGATAAAAAGTAGATTTATTACTACAGTAAATTTAGGAGTAATTTGTGGAGATTGAGAAAAAATACTAAATAAATAATTAGTAAATCGGAAAGAATCATGCGCTCATTTGGCTTCAAACAAGAATTTCCTGTACTATTGGAACCAGAGACACAAATTCATACTTACAATCGTTCAAATAACAAGATTTTTAAGAATTATTGCGCCGGTAAATTTGATGCCATCTATCGCCGAATAGCTGAAACGAATATCAAAGGTACTACTAAAACATCAAGAACGCTCTAGAAGTACAACGCCATCTATTGTCAGATAGCGGAAACGAATATCGAAAATACTCGACTTGTGAGGAATATTCTCGAAAATTCTAGGGATGTCGTATCGACTATAAAAGCGTTGCACGTTGCAGCGAAGGCACGAAGTGAGTTAGTATTCGGAACTACTCAAAGCGAAACAGCGAACGGATCATCTGAAACGAAGCGGAAGAAGTGAATTGAAAATTTTAAAGTGTTCGTTGAGTGTTCTAAGTGCTAATACAGTTAGTTACAATTTATACTTCGGTACAATTTTTATTTATCCAGAACCCCAGCACGTAACAGTATTATATACCCAGACACTGAACAAACACGCCTGCTAATCGTGAGAATCTTTGCCTGAAGCGAATCGAATCCCTTGGTACAGCAACCAAAGATTTTTCCGATTATCATTAATAATAACATTTGTTTAAACGATATATTTAACATATATGCCTAATTTATAAATCACATCACACATCAGCAGTCTGAACATAGACCTCTCCGCACGTCACTGAGTTAGCCGCGTTAAAAAGTTAACCTCTGGTAGAACCGCGTGCCCTATCGAAGTAACTACACGAAAATGTACGGAGCACAATCAAGTCAAGTGTTTTTCCCGTCGTTTACTGAACCCTGAGGTATTTCAGCTGTTATTTCGCAGCCCGTACCTTGGAAGCAATGATAAATGGCCTCTGTTACTTAATACAGGTAATACTGAAGGCTTTTACGACTATGTTACGAATATAAACAGTTTGGTATATATGTAACTAGCGACCCGCCCTCGCTTCGCTTCGGTAATTGTAATTTATTATTGATTTCTCCACTATTTAATGGATGTTATTATACATATAAACCTTCCTCTTCAATCACTCTATCTATTAAAAAAAACCGCATCAAAATCCGTTCCGTAATTTTAAAGATGCATACATAGGGACAGACAGATATAGGGACAGAGAAAGCGACTTTGTTTTATACTATGTAGTGATATGTAGTTTATTGAAACAAAAAGAAAACCAAATTGTTACTCTGTAAAGAATTCTTTATTTTATGAAATGAATTATTTGCAAACAACTTACTTCTACAATTTGAATTACTATAGCCACTTACTAACCTGTAAAGAGAAATAGCATTGGTGTTGGACGGTTACATTTTAGGGGACGGGGTTCTGGAGGTGAGGGGCTATTTAAAAACAGTCTACTTCATGGGTAATTTAATGATATTGCAAATACTTTGTACACTATTACATTATTTTATTTTTATAAAACTCTAAGATGTTGCTCTGTCCGTGTCTAGATGAGAAGTCATTGTCTTCATTGAAGAGAAGACAATCATCTGTTTTAAACATTTAAATAAACATTCCAATATTCGAAAACTGTAACCTTATATGTGTCAAGTGTTGCCTGCCATTACTTACATAGTCAAACTCCAACAATTGGAAGCTATTTCTTCAATATTTAGTATCTTATCAAAATCTGAAATAGTTCTTCTTTATGCACATTATCTTTTTCAATGTACAAAGCCAGAGAGCAGTTTTTCTAATTATAGAAAAGAGTGTCAAATGCTGCCACCATAGATAATACTATTATATCTGTATCGAAGTTAATGCGCGAACGATATAAGTATTGGTTGGTTTTAGTCGTCGTGGCCTAGAGGATAAAACGTCCGGTGCATTTGTACGTAGCGATGCACCGGTGTTCGAATCCCGCCGGCGGGTATCAATTTTTCTAATGAAACATGTACTTAACATATGTTCACAATTGACTTCCACGGTGAAGGAAAAGCATCGTGTAATAAAATCCAATCCGCAAAATTATAATTTGCGTAATTACTGGTGGTAGGACGTCTTGTGAGTACGCACGGATAGGTACCATGATCCTGCCTATTTCGGCCGTGAAGCATTAATGCGTTTCGGTTTGAAGGGCGGGGCAGCCGTTGTGATTATATTGAGAACTTAAAACTCATATCTCAAAATGAAATGGGTGGCGCATCTACGTTGTACGATGTCTTGGGGGTCCAGTAACTACTTAACACCAGTTGGGCCGTGAGCTCGTCCATCCATCTAAGCCATAAAGAAACCAGTTATGAAAAATGACGTCTTAAATCACACCGATACCGGCTTGGGTAGCTTCCCAAGCCGGTATCGGTGGACTAGCGTGGACCAAAGGTGAATGTAGTTTAAAATTATCATTACCAAGGCTTCATAAGGTCGCATGGCCCATACCCGTACAGGTTCTGCGACTTAAAAAAAAAAGAAAGAAAAAACAGAAAAACTTGTATTTTCAAATTGCGAACGTTGCAACTCAATCCTTAAACTAGTCGCTCTTAATAAAGTCCGTTTTTTTTTAATCTTTTTTTTTATTGCTTGGATGTGTGGACGAGCTCACAGTCCACTTATTGTTATACCTATCCTACCTACCTACCTACCCACCTATCGTGTAATAAAAATCAAACCCGCAAAATTCTAATTCGCGTAATTACTGGTGATAGGACCTCTTGTAAGTCCGCACGGTTGGGTACCACCGCCCCGCCTATTTCTGCCGTGAAGCAGTAATGCTTTCGGTTTGAAGGGTGGGGCAGCCGTTGTAACTATACTGAGACCTTAGAACTTATATCTCAAGGTGTATGGCGCATTTACGTTGTAAATGTCTATGGATTCCAGTAACCACTTAACACCAGGTGGGCTGTGATCTTGTCCACTCATGTAAGCATTTAAAAAAAAAAATAAACCCAAAGTCAGCCAAATACCAAAAGCGGTGCCGTTCCATGTGGATTCAAAACAATATGCCGATTAATGTCTAGACTCATTATAAACAGCATTTAGAACTGTCACTACCCGAGAACAGATTAAGAGAAGAAGAAGTATTTGTTACGCTACTCTTATGTGCGGTCTAATTAACTGTGGCTGCTCTATCGGAATTAACTGCTTAACAACACATTGACCGTTGGCGAAAAAGATGAATATTAATTAACATCTGCTACTAAGTTGACACATTTCGTGATTAAACTAACGAATTACAATGCATAAGCAACAGATCTCTCGGATCCCAAATTGCGAGCAAACTCAAAATACACAATCAACATTCAGAATTAATTATCCGTCCACTGCAACATCGAGCCTTCCTGTGTCTTGGATTGGCCTTCTCTACGAATTCAGTTTTGTCGCCGACCTTGACGATCCTCTCCGGTTCTTTTTATTCCATATATTTTGGTTTTTCTCTCAACATTTCCACTTCGATAAAGCGGCACGACACGAGAACCCTCCCATCGTGGCCGCCGGAAACTACATTCCCGATCCTGCGGACATAATGGAAAGTAGTCGACGTCGCCCCAAACACGTCATCTCGGATCCTCCCGATCCACTAACGGTGCTTTTAGGTACCTCAAGCACCGGTCATAGTTCTCGTCGAACCCCTCGCTTGCGACGAAGGGCTCGATAATTATATTAACCCTCAGACACAGCCCACTGAGTTTCTCGCCGGATCTTCTCAGTGGGTCGCGTTTCCGATCCGGTGGTAGATTCTGCGAATCACGGCTCTTGCTAGGGTTCGTGTTAGCAACGTCGTCAGGTTTGAGCCCCGTGAGCTCAAACTCGCTCTCACTCACTACACAACTACTCAAAAAGTTACGCTGAAATAGCCTCTCAAGGCTCTCAGCTAGGTAGGTTAAAAAGAAAAAAAAACATCATTTCCTAACCTATACTTAACTGAAATAATTACATGAATAATTTTAAAATGATATGAAAACATTTTTATCGGACATTTCATTTAACGCCTGATTTCTTTAAGTCCAACTACAAACATGTTTATTTTTTCTTTGACGCTTAAAAATATGTATAACAACAGTGCCGATCTTGCGTTTAGCTCAAACAGTTTTGTGTTGGAATACATTAATTAATATTTATAAAATTGTGAGATAAATTGTGTTTTTTAGAAGGTGAGTGTTTTAAAAGCGTTTAGTCCATGCCACCCATGATCGAACACAGTGGAAGAACGTCACGTATGGTCGCGATCCTCAGTAGTGAGGGAACGATATAGAAGAAGTCTTATAGTGTTACTTTGGCCTTTTTTACAAACTGCTCATCCTATGCAAGATGATGTTCTTAAAACGAAAAACATAGCTAAGCCAGGAGAGTCAAAAACTCGTTCAATAATAAGGCGGAAAAAGCGCCATAGATACTCGTGTGAAGCAAAACGATTTTCCTGGTGTTCGATTCCTGCACGTCCAGTCTTTTAATTGAAAGACGCACTTAACAGGTCTTCAGATGATTTTCTTAACCCATGACTGATCAAATGTGACCACTAAAATTGAGTATTCATAAAATATACTCAATTAAAATTGGTATCGTTTAGAGCAAAGCGAACAAATGGCGACTGTTAACTAATTAACGGCCGTCTGGTGTAGTGGTTAGTGACATGGTCACTACACAAGGGGGTCGCGGGTTCGAATCCCGCCAACCGAAGATATTTGTATGATAAATATAAACGTCTTTCCAGGGTTATGGGTGTATATTAAATATATGTATGTGTATAATAAAAATATTATATTTATTTCCGTTATCTGGTACTTGTAACACAAGTTCTTTACGAACTTATCACGGGACCAGTTAACGTGGTGTGATTGTTATTAAATATTTATTTTTATTTATCTATATTATATTAATTAATTTATCATTGGCATTTCACAGAGCCTGTTGTACATACAAACATAGAAATGTTTGTTACGAGATCGTTAGTATTTCCTGCTTGTTTCGTTGCAGTCTTCGTGTTTTGGATAACCGGTTCAGGAGGTAAATAACTTGATTAAATGGACTTTTTGGCGGGAACGCGAAAAGCGAAGTTGTGTGAATTGTTTTATTTTGTCTATTTAGTGTTTCTTCAGGTTTAAATATGTGTGATAACGGTGATTTATGAACTGTTTAATCTGTTTAATATCTGTGAAAGTGCTCAATTGTGGGAAAATGAAACAAAGTCGCTGGATGTAGCTTTTCGGGATCCTCCAAAAAGTCCACTGAAAAAATCTTATTATTTCATATAATTTCATCTCAGTCGATTAATTTGGGTTTCCTTCGTTTTTTTATTATTCATAAACTGTAAATCATAAAAACGGCGAATTATAAAAATCTTATTACTTGACGCTGGCTAATGCGCAAACCGTGCCGGAGCCAAAAGATAAAGAAGAAGAAGAAGAACTTGATTAAATAAAACCAATTGATTGAATCGGTAGCACAGTAATTAGTATGACGACTTCTGGCCGAAGCTTGTGGATTAGACCCCACATCATAGAACTAACGGGTTCATCTTTACCCTGTTTCTCTGTGTTCAATTTTTATTCACATATGTATATGCTAGCGCCTTCAGAAAAACCCGCTTCGTTCCGCTGCTGTAGCCGGAATGTTTTGTGCTTTTGGGGACTAATGTCCCTAAGGGAAAAAGGTTGCACCTACGAGGGGCAGCCGCGGTCCACAGACGGGGGATCCGCCAAGCGGGCAAGAGGTGTGGGACTAGAGCAGCCTTTCTCAAAGTGGGCGATAACGCCCCCTTGTGGGCACTGCAAGCCTAAAAGGGGGCGGTAAGAGACCCAAAAAAAAGGGGGTGTTGTGTAGAGGCTTGGTAAGCGATTTGTAATTTCATTTAGGAGGACTCTTAGACACCGACTGAGCTCTCGGTATAGTAGTTTTTAAGTAGGTTAAAAAAAGGGGGGCGCTAAATAATAATTTATTCTCAAAGTGGGTAGTAGACAAAATAAGTTTGGGAGCCGCTGGACTAGAGGCTGGTGAAACCCAACTCCGAGGGAAGCGCTCCTCTCCGGCCTCAGAGCCGGTGAAGATCTTCTTCTCCAAACGATCGTCGGGGGCACGGGCAAGCCTAGTCACAAACTCCCTGAGCGACTCCACACCGCACCTAGGTCCCGGGCAATTAAACGTCATTTCTGACGTACCGCCCGGCCCCGACGATATTACGGAGGGAAAAACTCTGCTGGGCCTGCAACCTAGATCGCTGGGACGGCGACAACAGGTGATACCACCATAGGTACCACCACCCCGCCTATTTCTGCCGTGAAGTAGTAATGCGTTTCGATTTGAAGGGTGCCGTTGTACCTTAGAACTTATGTCTCAAGGTGGGTGGCGCATTTACGTTGTAGATGTCTATGGGCTCCAGTAACCACTTAACACCAGGTGGGCTGTGAGATCGTCCACCCATCTAACCAATAAAAAAATTATTAAAAAAGTAATTATTAATTTGACGTCTCGCATGAAGCACTAAGACCTTGTTCGGACTAGGCGAGTATTTTAGTCGAGTACTAAGTAATTTAGTAGCTAAATGTGTCCGTGTGTGTGTGAGCACCAAAAATTTAGTCGAGTAAGTTAGTAAATAATTTAGTCAAGTCAATCCATTTTGTTCTATTTTTTCGGGCGAGTAGCGTGTGGTTTAGCCACTAAATTATTATCGGTACTCGACTAAAATACTCGCCTAGTCCGAACAAGGCTTAACAGACAAACTAAAGTATCGACTGCCTTTTTTATGACCATAACAAACTATCAAAACCGAAAGCCAAAAGTGTTACAAACATTGGTATAAACTTACTGGTGGTAGGACCTCTTGTGATTACTGGTGGTAGGACCTCTTGTGAGTCCGCGCGGGCGAGAACCACCACCCTGCCTATTTCTGCCGTGAAGCAGTAATGCGTTTCGGTTTGAAGGGTGGGGCAGCCGTTGTAACTATACGTGAGACCTTAGAACTTATATCTCAAGGTGGGTGGCGCATTTACGTTGTGGATGTCTATGGGTTCCAGTAACTACTTCACACCAGGTAGGCTGTGAGCTCGTCCACCCATCTAAGCAATAAAAAAAAATTACATTTGCGGCTATTAAAAAAATAAAGTTGAACACGAATTCTTATGTTATTGAAGGTAGAAAAAAACATAACGCAACGTAGGAATAACTATTTTATATTGCCACGGTACATACCCTGGTGCTGAACAGTCACTGTCGTTCATTTTCGACAATATTAGAACATCGCCCCAGCTATGTATTGGTCTGAAATATTTAAAATCCCTTTACTTCTCTATACGTCAACAGATCTTATTAATACGCTTTTCTTAGCTTCAGACGTATGAATGTTTGTAACGGAATCTTTGAACATGATTTTGACCCCCTTAAAAAGGTCGGATTAACTCGAAATTTGGTACACTTATTAAGGATCGGTGACAATTCAATATTTAAAGAAAATTGAAATTCAACTAAAAAATGAAAAATAAATAAAACTTTCAAATATTTTTTAGTTCAAATTTATTAAAATTTGTTTTCTAATATTTAGTTGGATTTTCTACAAAAGCGTATTTTGTTAGTTTTTTTTTAACTATTATTTTTTTTCAGAAGTTTTTAGGGAGTCTGACGATCGGCGCTGGAAAAAATTCCCCTTCTCATTCTCTCACTTCTTCTTTTTCAGGAGTTTTCATTTCAAATTTGTCGGAGAGCTGCTACAGATGCCTCTGCTACGTATCCACAAAATGTAATCTTGCACACGACTGTACTGGAGGATACTGTGGACCATTTAATATATCCAAGGTGTATTGGGTGGATGCAGGAAAGGTTGTGCACTCCGAAGATACCCCGGAGAGGAGCCATGGTGAGGGCGTTGCTCTCATTTATTTATTGACCCTCCATTGTAAACCAATTGAAATAAAGTTACAATTTTAAAAAAACAGTTCTCGCACAAAAATCAAACCCGCAAAATTATAATTTGCGTAATTACGGGTGGTAGGACGTCTTGCGAGTCCGCACGGGCAGGTACCACCACGCTACCTATTTCTGCCGTGCAGCAGTAATGCGTTTCGGTTTGAAGGGTGATGCAGCCGTTGTATATTGCATACTGAGGCCATAGAACTTATATCTCAAGGCAGGTGGCAGCAATCACGTTGTAGATGTAAATTATTATGGGCTCCGGTAACCATTTAATATCAGGTGGGCCGTGACTTCACCCACCCACCTAAACAAGAAATAAAAAAAAGAAAAGTAGATCACGCGAAAATTTTAAAATTACTATTATACCCGATAAACAGTGCATTAGGTAGGGGGGTCAGCCTTTAAGACCATCGGCCACATATCCCTGGTCCCGGAAACCACCCTGCCACTCATTTGTCCTGCAAAACGGTTACAATGGACAGATAAAGGAAAATTAAGAAACCTAACTCATAGGACAACGTAATCTTCTATATATTAATACGTGAAGCAAAAACTTTGTACCCCTTCTTACGAAAATTGACCTGACGGAGGATTATGAAATTTCCTATACTTATAGAGAATATAGAGAAGAAGTGCAGAATGCTAATTTTTTTTTTAAATTATGCATAAAAAACACATTAAATCAATAAAAAAAGCATTACACACACTACCATGTATTTGACACAACACATTCATAAAAATATACTCTTTGTTTACTGTCAATTGGGAAACGTTTTGTTATTGTTTAAAGTCTGTGGTCGAATTGAGAATCTATATATTAATACGTGAAGCAAAAACTTTGTATCCCTTTTTACGAAAATTGCGCGGACGGAGGAGTATGAAATTTTCCACACTTATAGAGAATATAGAGAAGTGCACAATGCTAATATTTTTTTAAAATAATGCGTAAAAAATACATTAAATCAATAAAGAAAACATTTCACACACTACATACCATGTATTTGACGCACACACGCATGCATACCTACTATTTCGTCAAACTTTTGTTCTTGACGTCTGTTGTCAAATTGAGAATAGATTAAATATTGTTTGTCTTTGTTCATAGTTTTATAGTGTAGTCTTGGCGAAATTAGTGATTATAGAAGTAAAATAAACAATCATAATAGTGTACAAGCTTACAATTCCAATTAATTATAGTCGAATTTCGACTACTGCGGGACCTCTAGTAGATTAATATTGTTTGTCTTAAATATTATTTATTTATAGTGCAGTTTTGGCGAATACTGTGATCATATTATCGAATTAGATATAATCGTTTTCGACAATAGAACCATAATAATGTTTAAACTTATAATTTCAATTAATTATAGTCTAATTTCGACTAATGCGGGGCCACTAGTATGTTTTATTATCAAATGCACATTAAAGCCAGATCTTTGATTTGGGCATTTATTTGCGTTTACACTTTTTTTGTTACAGCCTGGGAAGACTGCGCAAGAAACTATCATTGCTCAAAGAAAATAATCGAAGGCTATTTAGAACGGTTTGGAAAGGTAAGCAATAGATCGACTTTTTTTTTTTTTATGTCAACGAGTGGCAAACGAGCAAGACGGGTCACCTGATGGTAAGTGATTCACCGCCGCCCACGGTCACCAGCGTTTACGCCAATGCGTTGCCTACCCTTCAGGTAAGAATATGCTCTTTTCTTGAATAACCCAACGTCGCAGTTGTTGGGGAAGACTTGTCCCTTCTCCGTCTGTTGACAGGTTAGCCTTACACGCGTGTCTTTATTTCGTAAATATTTTGAACAAAATAACTGAACTATGACTGTATATAACTGAATAAAACTGTTTTCGTGGGCATTTTGTGGTTAAGGCTGGCCGAATCTTTAGCAAAAGTTTAGTCTGCGCAACCAAGCTGCAGAGGGGCAAGCTAGTAAATAATAAATATGTCGAAGAAGCCACATTTATTAACACCATCGTCAGACATCATAGGGGCGAATAGGGTGATCGAGCTAAGAGAAACATTGAGTACGCCAATCACGTTGGTTGTCTTAGAACAATTTAGAAATCTTCTCTTGACGTTAGCAAATGAAAAGGAATGACACTTCTTAGGGCGGAGGCACCGCTCTTCAAGAAGGCTGGTTGGTAAATGTGATGGAGTCTACGGCCTCCATCGGCTAGGCTCTGTCGTAGCACGAAGTTAGCAGAGACGATACCACAATCGTGCTGCCATCTCTCGGTAATCGTGCTGCGTTTCGTTTAGCTACCAAACTAATGACCATCTCCGACAAATAAATAACTGGGAACAAAACACGCACGGTCATCCGGCCCCAAATTAGGATTCCCTGTACTATGGGCACCAGAGACTGGCATATATACATACTAATGTACGCAACATACACATATATAGATAATAATCATTTGGTGGGTGTCGCTTTTACGTTATAGATGTCTATGGGCTCCAGTAACCCCTTAACACCAGGTGGGTTGTGAGCTCGTGCACCCGAATAAGAAATAAATATATATATATATCAAACAGACCTGTTTGTTCATCACACGAATTCAACCCACGACCCTCAGCGCAATAGACACAGTCGCTACTACGCCTCCGACTCAGTCAAAGTCAGTAGGGGATAGATAAATCTCCGGCCCATCAAATCGCAATACATTACTGAATTGCGACAATGGTCCTCAAGGCTTAGAATACTCTCGAGACAATTTCCCGATGGCTTTCTTACTAGATATGTGATACACAGGACTGCAACGGTGATGGCGTGACGGACTGCTTCGACTACATGATGGTGAACGGTAACGGTGGGTACGGTTGCACCAAGCCCCTTAACCGCTCAGTCAACGGACGACGGTGGCTTCTGCGCTACGAAGAGTGCACTTTATAATTAACCAAGTGATAATCAAGTGATTTGCAAGTAAAAAAATTTAAATCAATAATTGAATATTTTCTTAACCTTCATCTACTAATGGGAGCACGCATGGGAGACGAGAGTAAATACAATCAGATCCTGAATACTGGATTCAACAGTATGCTAGTTAGGGTGACGAACCATTATACAGTAAAACAATATATTTTTTTCTACCTATTCTGATAGCCTCTCAAGGCTATTTCAGATTCGCCTTGACGTGTAGGTGAGCTCACGGGGCTCAAACCGAGAGTGTTGCAAACACTGGCCCTAGCAAGAGCAGTGCTTCGCAGAATCTACCACCGGATCGGAAACACCACCCACTGAGAAGATTCGGCGAGAAGCTCTGTGGGCTGTGTCTAAGGGATAATTTACTCGTCGAGCCCTTCATCGCAAGCGACGGGTTCGGCGAAGGCGGTGACCGGTGCTTGAGGTACCTAAAAGCACCGTTAATGGATCGAGAGGATCCGTAATGACGTGTTTAGGGCGACATCGACAGTTTACAAACGATCATACTTTCACAAACACGACCTAATACTTTTTCTATAATTCACCCGAAAGATAAAGTCATAGCTTCTAGAATAACGCTTTGATATAAATCATACCTATATGAATAAAAGACACATAAAAACCATCCAGCCAACCAGCATTTTATGTCTCTTTCGGTTTATTCGTCAGCAAACAAAAAATACATTTAAATTTTAATTCGATGCTTAACATAATTTATTGCCTAATTAATCGTAAAACTGAGTCGCTAGATAACTTATATACTAATTAATACTACCGCAAATGCCAGACGTGTATAAAACTTGTCTAACTTTTTTACAGAGAAGAAGCATCGTAGAGAAATTCAAAAAGAACGGAAAGGATGGTTAGAATATACGCTATCCTTAAAGCTTCACTGCATTGAGTTCGGAATTAACATCAGTTATTCCACTTTGTAACAGCAGATTTGACGACCACGAGTTTCTTTTGACTATGAATTCAAACACAATCAGACACGTGTTACAATAACTCACAACATATAGTAAGAGTGACACTAATCATGAACATATCCCAAAAGAGCAATGATAAACCGGAAAAATGCTAATCTTATTGTACACAATGAAGTAGTTGAATGTATCCATCAAATTATCTCTTCAAATATCCAAACGATAAAAGACATCAACATAACTGACTATAATATAATAATATACTGACTATAATATATACTGACTATAATAACATTAACTATACTGAGACCTTAGAAATCATATCTCAAGGTAGGTAACGGCATTTACGTTGTAGATGTCTAAGTAACCACTTAACACCAGATGGGCCGTGAGCTCGTTCAACCATCTAAGCAATAAAAAAAACAAAGAGAACAAACATATCTTTAAAGTTTCGGTATTTAAAAGGAATTGTAAAAACAGAAATAGACGGTTAGTAATCAGTGTGCTTGCCTACCACCAGTACGAGAGATACCAAACTGGGCGTTATAAAGAATTGACTGGGGCAGGAACGATAGGATCGAGCCTGTGTCACTAAGAATGTCGCATTCCCGTCTCTACTGATCAAGGACCGCGCAAATTTTCTACTGTAATCTATTAAGATCCTACATTGTATCAGCTTTAACAAAACGTGACAGCCCTGAGAAGCACAGAAATACTGTGTGTATATATAAAATAAATTAAAAATAACTAAAATAAATAGAATAGTAAGTAGTGGGCTTTGAGCCGAAACTTGAGATCAAAGGTTCCGTAGCATACCTACCGAGTTCATCCATTACCAGACTCTATCGATGGCACCATATCGCGGAGTAAAAGGCTATTTAAATTATAAGGCTTAAGCGACATTTTTGCAACGTTACACGAGAGTCATTTATAGTTTAAAATTTGGATAAAATATCATTAAAAGAAACTTCTTAAGCTATTTGAATGGAGTAAGCTTAATTGAAGTTCAATTACAAACATTGAACTGTTGATGCTAATACCAACTAAACCGAAACGGACCTTTAGTTACAAAGATAAATGTCGCGTATTAAGCGGAATGTCGCTTAAACTAAATAGCTTTTCAACCCTCGATATTATTGTACTATGAAAATTATCTATACATTGTCATGTAAATAAAATTGGAGTGTCTGTTTGTAATATTGAAATACCCTTTTTTACTACATGTATATGAATATAACTAGTCAGGTCATAAGTATTGTCACACAGTAAAAACTTTTCTTTTAGAATGCTGGCCACAAAAAAGTTTATTAAATTCGAATTTCGAATTGTTCATGAAAATAAAAATGTATACTTTTAGAATTTTACTCATTTTTAAATATGGAGTGGACGCTTAAAGAAAACCGTGTTGCAGTTATTGCGTTGCATCGTTGCGGTTACGCGCCAATTCAAATTTTTAACATACGGAAAAATTTGAATATAACCAAAAGATTCGTTTATCGTACCATCAAACGATACCATGAAGACTCTAGTGTAGATGACAGGTCAAGAAGTGGTCGCCCTCGGTCTGTTAGGACTCCAGCAGTGATAAAAGCTGTGAAGGCGCGAATTCAAAGAAATCCCAAACGTAAGCAGAAACTGTTGGCCCTTCAGATGGGGTTAAGCAGAACCACGGTGAAAAGGGTGTTAAATGAAGACTTAGGGCTTCGGGCATATCGAAGAAAAACAGGACATCGTTTGAATGCTCGTCTAATGGACCTGAGACTGAAGAGATGCCGCGCTTTGTTGAAGCGGTACGCGGGAAAAAAATATCGGGAAATTCTTTTTTCGGATGAAAAAATTTTTACCGTAGAAGAGAGCTACAACAAACAAAATGATAAGGTGTACGCACACAGTAGTGAAGAAGCGAGCAACCGTATTCCGCGTGTCCAACGAGGTCATTTTCCATCCTCGCTCATGGTATGGTTGGGAGTTTCTTATTGGGGCTTAACAGAGGTACATTTTTGTGAGAAAGGTGTAAAAACGAATGCAGTTGTGTATCAAAATACAGTCCTGACGAACCTTGTGGAACCTGTTTCTCATACCATGTTCAATAACAGGCACTGGGTATTCCAACAAGATTCGGCGCCAGCTCATAGAGCGAAGAGCACACAAGACTGGCTGGCGGCGCGTGAAATGGACTTCATCCGGCACGAAGACTGGCCCTCCTCCAGTCCAGATTTGAATCCGTTAGATTACAAGATATGGCAACACTTGGAGGAAAAGGCGTGCTCAAAGCCTCATCCCAATTTGGAGTCACTCAAGACATCCTTGATTAAGGCAGCCGCCGATATTGACATGGACCTCGTTCGTGCGTCGATAGACGACTGGCCGCCCAGATTGAAGGCCTGTGTTCAAAATCACGGAGGTCATTTTGAATAAACTTTAGTGTCATAAGAATCTATGTTTTGTTAAGTTCATTTTGGTATATGAATGGTTACATAATGAATAAACTTGTTTCAGTTATTTTACATTAAACATGTGACAGAATTTATGACCTGACTAGGTATATACGGTACCAAATATACCAAAACGTATACCAAAATAACACTTTTTACCATTTTTGTCTGTCTGTCTGTTTGTTCCGGCTAATCTCTGGAACGGCTGGACCGATTTTTACGAGACTTTCACTGATAGGTAGCTGATGATATAAGGAGTAACTTATGCTACTTTTTTTAGACTAGCTTCGCCCTGCGGCGTCACCTGCGGTACGACAATAGCCGCGGGTAACATCGCGGGACTCAGCTATCAATAATAAAATTTTATGATTCCGAAGAGAAGCGAGGGCAGGTCGCTAGTTATAAATAAATATTATTACATTGATACAACTTAATTGGAAATTTCTTATTCCTAAATTTTTTTTTCCCAACCTCAAAGAAAGATTGTATACGATTTTTATTCAGAAACATTGTGGTTCTGTTGTTCTGTCGCTATCTGTAATTTCTGAGATGCACATTTGGGGACGACAAAGACGCAGGAGGACGCGTTGAATATTCAGAGGGAGGACGTGCCCAAATATAATGAAGGCGAACCGACACTGAAATACAAAACAAGCTGCCGTTGCGGTATTCATGTAGCTCTCGTTGTACTCGCCAAAGGCTGACGGGGAACTTTAGAATTTAATTCAGACCTCACCAGGATTAAATTCGGCCAAAAGTAATAAAGTTGTTTTTCACACCAATGGAAGTCGGCCAAATTTTTTTTTTCTTTTTTTTTTCTTCGGTCAGTATGGGAACCTGAACCTGACTGTAACTACTAAACTCTGCTCCGGGACGCTGTCTTGCCAACCAGTGTAAAATCCTGTCGTGCGCTCATCGTGTCGGAGTCTGAGAACGAAGTGGTTTCAGACAATCGAACGCATGATGCACTAGGGGCCCTTTCATACCCTATGTCAGCTTCTCACGTAACCCGTCGAGCTGCCTCCGATTCGGCTTTGGCCTAAGGCCTCTCCAAGTTAGTGACACAGCCCACCCGTGTCCCAAATATTGAGGGACAGGACCCTTCTTTGTTAGATCATCTGCTGACCACTCACCCAGCCGGAGATAGTGTAGTGGTCGACATCCACTGGATTGTTTTTTTTATTTTTATTGCTTACATGGGTGGACGACCTCACAGCCCACCTGGTGTTAAGTGGCTACTGGAGCCCATAGACATCTACAACGTAAATGCGCCACCCACCTTGAAATCTAAGTTCTAAGGTCTCACTATAGTTCAACGGCTGCCCCACCCTTCAAACCGAAACGCATCACTGTTTCACGGCAGAAATAGGCAGGGTGGTGGTACCTACCAGGGCGGACTCACAAGTGGTCGACTATAATTAACTGAAATTATAAGTTTGAACATTATTAAGGTTCTATTGTCAAAGACTATTAATATACTTCTGTAATCACAGATTCCGCCCAGACTACAGTATAGAGAAATAATATTAAAGATAAACAATATTAATTTATTTCTAATCTGACCACAGACTTTAAATAATAACAAAAGTTTGACAATAAACAAAAGAGTATA